GTTAGTTAGGATTAGGATTTCGGTAGATGTCTGCTGTGAAATCCGCCCTGTTTGGACACAAAAATTTTTGTTTTGGTATACGAGTTTTGTCTAGAATTCGACTGCAGTTCGATAAGTCACACCAACGCTCGCACTACATTTGTTCACCTCTTTTCCTCACACTGCCCATGAGTACGCCTGTTGCTACTGTTCACTAAACAATCCGCTCTGTAACTCGAAATTTTCAAGTGATAGTATGTGTTTTTTCGAGTAAGTTTTTTGTAAATTCATTAACAGTGAACTTTAAGAAAGTTAATGAGGAGAGTTCGTTAATAAAGAAAATGATTACGATCACCGTGGAAGTGTAAAACGAGATTATTGAAAACTATGAGAATGGCGTACATATCCCGAACTTAGAGCTATTGCCTGTCTGTATTAATTTGCTAACGTCACGAATGATAACGATTGCTAAACAAAGATCAGAGATGCTAAGAGCAAGGATGGCGAACCTTTTTCGATAGGTGTGCCAGTTAAATTATGGTTTATTATTTTCAAGTGTCCAGTGTTCTACTTTATTTTTTTAAATTATCTTTAAACCCCTGCTTCTTTGATTTCAAACTATCGAAATGCATTTTCTAACTATATTTGCTGTTTAGTTTATTTACTTGCTTGTTTAGTTATTAGCTTGCTATTTAGTTACTAATGGCGCCCATGCTCGTACTCTTTCTGAATCCTACTTTAATGACTGCTAGTCTTGAAGATTCCCCCCCCCCAGTTTTCTTTGAAACGTTGTTTTGAATGAATGTAAATGAACAAAAACAGTTTAGTATGTACCTATGGCGGGCTACCGAAAGTGAGACGCCTGCCATAGGTTTGCCATTCCTGCGCTAGATTTTTCAGCATGCCTGCAGTGGTCCGCCTGCCATAGATTCTTTGCTATTCCATGCTGAAAAATCGCTTTTGATGGGGATAGCCGGAAAATGTTTACGAATAATGCTATGCAGTGCTTCAATAAGTTACAATATATAATTTACCCACTGCATTTGTATTTTAATATTAAAACATACTTTTTTAGAACGGATTAATTATTTCCTGTGTATTTCTTTTTGGAAAAGTTCGTTTGGTATACATCCAAGGATCTGGAAGATTAAGAGCTCAGCCGAGTTCAGGTTGACAATTCGTTTCTTATGGAATTCTTAATCAATGAGTTGCATATTATTTGCTTTTTCTTTCGTTGCTGTGTTGATGAATATAGAAGTCTATTTTTCTCAAAATGCGCGCTCTGTATTAGCATTAGAACATTATCTCTGCATTAGCAGAGAACATTATCGATTTGCAACGAGATCTAAAAGCTGCCTAAAGCTTTGTTGTTATTAATGCTCACATGTCTGACCTATAAGTCAGGCCAAGCTGACAAGCCCACGAAATTCCTCCTGGCAAGGAGCGTAAGTTTACGCTCACCTTACGAGTGACACCTTATGAGTCCCTCCCCCAATTTTGATGGAGAGCCGGTCCAATTTTGATGGAGGCCCGGAGGGACGGGTCCCAGGGTTTCCCACCCCTCTTTCCCTACCACGCACCTCTCGAGAGGACTTTCGGCTCGCCGCATGTTTTGAGTGACCCCATGCCGCACAGGCACTATACATTTACGAGCATACATGCCTTCGACGGGCTTCGAACCCGGGCCCTTCGGTACGGCAGTCAGCGATGCTAACCACTATACCGATTAGGCGGCTGCTCAAAGCTTTGGTACCAAGGAGTGAAATCCGCTGTTATTGACCGCTTTTAAGTACTCCTGTTTTACAAAGATACTATAACTCATGCTTATTCGGAATTTAACCTGGTAGAATTGAATTACTCGTGTAGGTAAATCATGTTTATAGAACGTTAACGAATGCGTTTCTTTTTTACACCTTGTATATCACACATACTGAAAAAAAGGCGTTCCCCACACTCCCCTTGATAAGAATCTAAGCTACCCTATCATAAAGTAAGTAGTAGTAGTAGTGAAATGTTGATTAATTTTGATATGAAACTACATTTAATGCTCTTAGTGGGTTTTTGGTCGCTGATTTGAACGCTTTTTTTTCGTCTAAAATTCCGTGTTAAAAGGGTAATAAACTGCGACAGCGCGGGAATTTGTCTTCTAAATTAGATATGAATAAACTTCGGATAGTGACGTGGGGGTTAAAAATCCTTTATTTTCTTATAAAGTTAAAAATCCTTTATTTTCATATAGTATAATTAATTATCTTTTCCGTTAACAGAACATGTAGATCGATAACAGTAAATGTTCAATTATTTTATAAAAACATACTGTCACTGTTTTCACATAGAATTTGTATTACGTGATGACAATATTGCTGCATTGAAACTATTACGCGCCACAATTCTTTAAACGCCATTTGCGTATTCTTGTCTGGCTTCTGAATGCCGCGTGGTGAACTAACCCGATCCAAACGTCCTTCGTAATTTACTGATAGAACCGGCTTCGACATTTAGTCAGCAATTTGGCGATGCTTTTCTCATCTTGGCTCCATTTTTTACTCTTTAGCCGCAACCCTGCAGCCGATCTGTTCTCATGTGTTTCGGGCATGTGAGAAGTTTCGGTGCCGTGACCGTGATGTGCGCGTGTTCTGTCTTTTTGCCGTATTTTGACATTTTATTGGGCGACGAAGGGCAATGGGTGATTTTAATATAACCTCAGGGTTTGACATGATCACATCATGTCAGAAACACTGGGACGGATTTTGGGACACGCAAGGAAGTACAGTTTTCGAAAAGCCGAGCGAAAGTTTCAACTTAAGGTAGGTGTTTTTCCTATTGACATAAGCGGATAAAATACGATCGTACGTGTCTTGTCTAATTAGTTGCTGTGAAATGAGGACGTTTTATTTTTATTTTAACCCTGTGCTGTTATAAAGTTTCTTATATGATTGATTATATTATGAAAAGTGTATCGAAAAAAGTTACTGTGGTTTCTGTGGTTTATTTGCTCTGCTTAATATGGTGCATATGTATTTCTGGAGTTTTATTAACATTATAAAAATATTTATCATTATGAATCGATTTTTCAAAATACGCCAAAAATCGCATGCAGAACGTTTTAGTAGACACTGCTTCTAATAGTGTTAATGTATATTACAATTTTTCAAAACTAAAAATAATTAATGTATGAAGTGGTTAAAACTCTGAAAACCAGTTTGATTTTCTTTGAAACTCTGTTCTTAGTGTTCCCTTGCATTGATAAGGAAATATCAGTGAAAGGGTGGTTTTAGAGTAAATTAAAAGAATTTTGTAAGCAACTTCTGAGTTCAAGAAAAATTAGATCACTCTTCTGAGGAAGCGTGAGTAATATTAGGAAAGAAAATTGAACTGTATTTGTACTGTTTTGAAAACAGTTGAAGTTGAACAGTTGAAGTTTAAAACAGTGCCTACTGTTTTGAAAACAGTTGAAGTTGAACAGTTGAAGTTTAAAACAGTGCCTACTGTTTTGAAAACAGTTGAAGGCACTGTTTTAAAGAAAATCAGTGCATATTTTATCAGCTTAGATTTAAGCTATCGTTTGATTAAAGTTAGAATTAGCGCTAGTTAAAAGCACTCGATTTTTTTTATTGCCGACGTAAATTTCAAGATGTTTCGATTTAATGCGAGTTTTTCCGACCCCTCCCCTCAAAAAAAAAATTACACACAGGTAAACACTGCTATAAACTTTCAATCCGAATGTTATTTAACATGCGATTATTAATTATTTTCTGGAGAAAAGGTTGAGTTTAATATTTATCCAGCAGTCCAATTTGTCGAAAAAGTAGTTTCGGTTTTCTTTTTCCGCTAGTCTGAATATTGAATGAAATTCTTATGAGTTGAAAGGCATTTGATATTCAGAACTCCTAGTGTGAAGAATTTCGTATATGTTTTTTTAAGTAACACAAGGGTCACATACGCATATTTTTGACAGGCGTTACCGAGAGACTTCTGATGAACGCTTGTGCTGATATTCGCCTTGGCAAGGACGTAATCAGTCGATCGTAGCGGCGAAGTTCCAAATATTTTGCAGTTCAGTACAATCGTTACTTAATGGCTATGAGGAAACTGTATTCAAATGAATATTGTTAATAATATAGAATAAAAAAATATATTTTTTGTTTTAATTTTTAGCCTTCTTTATCTACAAAAATTCCATAGCTTACATAGAAAGATTTCATATCAACATAATTATTTCAAACTGGTATCAAAATGCTCCTTGGAGAAAATTTAGGCACTATAAAGCAGTAATTTTATTCTGTACTAATCTTCCTGATTTTTTTAAAACTGTCTAGATTCTTGAAAGCCCCATTGCAGGGTGTATCGTGCGCACGCTGAGTGCTCACCAATTTTTATGGATGTGCTATGTATAGGTAATGCAAAATAAATTTTTAAAATGCGAAGTAAATATATATATTAATGTTATTTTAATTTATGTATATTATTTTAATTTGTTATTTATATATATCTAAAACTTGAATTTTTTTACATAATTTTAAATATATAAAAGTAAACATATAAAAATTAACATTAAAAAATTTTAAACATATAAAAAGGAAATGTAATTTATTTGATTTAAGAATAATTTTTGAATTCCCTTCTTAATTGATTTCGGTAAAATCCTAGTATACGGTGCAGCCTTGGCGCGACTTTGAAGATTATCGCCAACACCAAAAATGATCCAAAGAACGTCTATATATATATATATACACTAGTATATATATCACTATATACATAGTATATACTATGTTTAACTACATATTTTCTTTGAATGACCCGTTAACTACTCATCGTATATGTCCCGTTTTTACTGCTCATCATAAAGTCGCCAAAAGTAGTCAATACTAGGATTAAACCTTGATTTCCTTCTTAGTATTGATTAAAATTCTTAAAATCAATTACTTTTTATAGTAAACTTCATATTAATTATTCACATTATCATTTCAATTTATTCATTTAATGCATCTTTAATTACTAGAAATTTTACTGTATTTTAGCCACCATCATCAGTGGTTACAATTCACAATTTAAAAAGCTCAAGAGATGATGGTATATTGTATCCGGATGATCAGCTCAATGATGTGGCAGACGACAGAGAACAGGTATATTTTATTTATTGACAAACATATGTATAGTTAAATATGGAAAACTTTCTAGATACTAGATTATATTCTAAAAAAATGCTTCTTCTGATAGGCTTGCTATTTAAGAGCTTATGAAGCATGTTTTTTCTAATGTTATTCATATTTTTAACCCTTCTGAGCTGCATGACTGACTTTATCTGGTCATGAGATTTTTTGTCTCTTGGTATATATTAGCTTAACTTGTTTCAAAAGAATAAATTGAATTTAAATACAAATTTAATTAATTCTTTGCGCCATTGCTGCAAGGAATGAAATTTAAATTTTAATAAACATGTAAATATGTAAAAATGCAAATTTAAAGTTAAAAAATTTAAAAAATGTGCAAACATATAAAAGATTTAATTTTCAAACTAATCTACAATATCATTTAAATTCAGATAGCATAAGTAAATCAAGTGCAAAACCAAACCGTGAAAATAAATTTACCAATTTAGCAAATTAAAATTAATCTAAAAATTTTTTTAAAAAATGCGTAAGTGAATGACTGTTGAGCAGGCAGGAGACAGACTTATCAAGGGGAAGTTGCCTCCAAACCTAACTCTTCAATCATTCAATACGTGTTTCGTCATTCATGCAGGCAAGGGTAAAAAATCAAAACCAAAAGTAAATACATAGTGAAGAATGCCCAAAAAGAAATACCAATAAAGTGGTACCTTGAGAAATTAGCAATTAAAAATTAAAGGTCTAAAAGGAAAATACCAATAATGAAGTATATTAAGAAATAAGCAATGTAAAGTCTAGTATTAAATTAAATTTTTTAAAAAATTAAATTTTCCAAAAAAATTAATTTAGAAACCAATGCATTTATACAGAAACCTCCCCGACACGAATATGCATATCAATCAAAAAGGAACTAGACATAATTTATATAAACCAATAAGAAACTAAAAAGAACTAATTCATAATTTATAAAAAACAAATATATACTTAAAAATATAATTACAAATTTAGAAAATGCTTAAATACTACATAAAAAAATACTTAAAAGCAAGTAAATAGTAAGTTTTAATTCTAACTTACCTACCATATTAGCGTTGGGGTCTGCAAAAGTATTTCCTAAGTGATGTAAGTGTGTTCTGCAAATTATGTAGATGGTGCTAATGTAAGTAAAGTTGAGTGCCCAGCTGCTATCTTTGTTTTATTAAAAAAAAATTAATATAAAAATATTTAAATAATATAAATCTAGAAAAAATCAAAGAATATCCTAAAAGTATGTAATTCAAGTTTTAATTTTAACTGACCAACTATTTATGTTAGGAAGTTTAGTAGCTGAGCCGATCAAGAGATGTAAGTTTGCTCTGCAAATATCATAAAAAGAGTACTCTAATTGAAGTAAAGTAGAGTGAAGTGGTTATTGTGAATTAATGTAAACTTGTTTGTAATGTTAAATGTGTGTTACTTCCTTTAATAATGTAAATGTAATCTTAATGAGTATAAGTGTATGAAATTATAGACTAAAATAAATAATTTTACCAAATTGGCTAATAACTGTTGTTTAAATACGTCTTCTTGACAAATTGAAAACCCTGAGTTGTTCAGATATTTAATACACTATTTTGCAAAAAAATCGAAGCACCATGAAGTCAGTTGTTGTTTTTGATTAAATTGAATACGTGTGTAGCTCGTACACAGATAATCAAATAATTATAAAAAAATCAAGGTCATAGTACCTGTTCATGTCTTGCAATCACCCATTGAGTGTTCAAATTAGTAGTTCGTTGAATCGTCGTCGAAGCAAGGAGTAGTAGAGGCTCTTAATGTCATCCTGCAACACATTCTGCCAGGCATTCATCAGTTGTCGCTCCAGATCTGTGATATTTTGTGCCCGAATCTGGCAGCCTACCATGTCCCAGACATGCTTGATTTGTAAAAGGTCTGGTAACCTTGCTGGCCAAGGATCAATCACACGGAAACAGTCCAGAGATATGCGAGCGGTATGTGGCTTGGCATTATCTTGTTGAAAAATGGCCCCAGGATGATGTGCCATGAAGGGTAATGCAATCGGCTGCAGGATGATATCAACATATCGTTGAGCTGTTAAAGATGTATGGAGGATGACTAAAGATGACCTGCTGTCATAAGAACTAGTGTCTCACACCATCGCACCAGAGGTTATGGCTGTATGTCTTTATAAAACAAAGGCTGTTTGGGACTGCTGGCCCCTTCTTCTCGAGACACGAACACGGTGGTCATCTGCTATAAGATGGGACTTCATCTGTGAGACTCATCGCTGAACACTATACAATGCCAGTCTGATGGCAGTTATGATGATCGGCTGCGATTCTGCCTATGTTGTAGGATCAAAGGCAAACATCTTAAAGGTTTCTGTGAGCGTAACCGCACCTCAGACAAGCGCGTGAGATGGCGGATGGTACCACGAGAGGTAAAGACATGGCTGTATTGCATTGAATAGTCGACAATGATATCGTTGGAGCGGTCTGGCCTGGCGTACAGTCATCCTGTCTTGCCTCGCATTTGTGGTCCTTGGCCTTCCAGAGCCTTTAATTCGTCGGCAATTTTCTTGTAGCAACCATTGCTGCCAACATCTTTGCACAGCAGTGTCTGTATGCTGTAGGTAGCAGCTTATAGCTCAGTTTTGACCACCCAGCTTCATGCAATCCTACAATGCGATCATGTTCGAAGTCGTTTAGTTGTCTGTAAAGTCTTTGATATCATCGTAATGGCATCTTTAGTTGGTTCTTTAGGGAATTACAATGGCAATAACAGAAAAAATAAATTTTCCACCTCTGTTACTGGTTTTATACTTTACGAAATGCGCATGATGATCCCTATTTCTGTTCATTTACCTTGAATTACCTTGATCATTTGCATGTTAGATCAAGATATTTTTGCATACCAAATATCGTCACGATCGCAAAAGTCCTTCTTGGAGTTTCGATTTATTTTTGCAAAAGAATGCATGTGTATATAACGAAATACTTCTGTGAAGAATATTTAACTGTTGCAAATAAAACAGTCAATAAAAGATATGGCAGATTCTGCTCTTTAAGAAGAATCAACAACCTTTTTTCATGTAAATCTATGTAAAAATGAGATTTGTATAAGCTTAGTGAATGCTGTAATAGCAGTTGTTAGATTTATAGAGACATTAGTAAAAAGTGTCAATATAAATCAGCTGAACTTTTATTTGCAGTTTTAAATTGTGTAATTCAACAAAAGTATTAAAAACTTATTTAACCCAACCACTGTGGTGTGATTTAGCAACTTTGTTAAAAGGAAAAGGTAAAAATTACTTAGTGCAGTTCGGAAATTTTTCCAATTATTTTATTAAAGATTTATAGTTGTCGATATTTATTGCATATTTGTTAATGTTAACAACACATAAAAATAAAACACACTTTGGAACACACTAAATTTTATTATTAAATAAACGTTTGACGCATTTTGAAAATTTGCTTTCTTTTATTAAGATGGTTGCAATAATATGTAAGTACCCAATATTAGTAGTAGCTCGTATTTTTAACAAAACTGGTTGAGCAAATGCTGCCATACACTATGTGGTGTATGTTCTGAGCAAATGCTGATCTGAGTATGATGATCATTTTGCTGTTTCTTTCCTTCCGTGGATCAAACCAGGATAAAAATTAATGCTGCAAATATGCTGCAAGTTCAGCAAAACAAATAACATTGTACTGTAAACGCTAAGTAATAAACACTAAATAATAATCAAACCAGGATAAAAATTAATGCTGCAAATATGCTGCAAGTTCAGCAAAACAAATAACATTGTATTGTAAACGCTAAGTAATAAATGTGGTTTTTCACCACTGAAAGATGTCACCGGAATCCATACTGCCATGAAAATCAACCAAACAGTGCATGCCTACGATATAAAATTATGTAATATCTTGCTTAATATATTTTTTGGAGAAATGTTTTACATAGGATAATGAAGTCTTCAAATGTCTGCATATAAGTTAATTCAGTTTTGGATACAAAAACAATGTATTCATTTTGTGCAGGAGTGTATTAACGTTGTCTGTAATTTTGATTAAATAGGCCTGTTTCCAAGTTTTTCTTTCTGCTTTTTTAGCATCCACATTCTCAATCATTTCATTCAATATATATATTATGAACTGCTAACCTTTCCAATTTTACCAGCACATTACCATTTTTTAAACATCTTTCCGAGTCATTCTGAGAATTTTCAAGTTTTGGATTTTTTACCTTTATCAAGAAAAATATTTCTCAGCAATAAATGAATGAAATTGTGCTAACTCTATTCTCCCACTTTAAGTAAATTTCAGCATAATTTTTCGTATTGAATTTTATTTAATCTCAGTTCTCTAATCTGCTTCTGAGATTTATAAAACATCTCAAACTCATTACTAAGTTTATCTACATAATAATGTGTATGCATTGATTATCAATTTTATTTTCATCATATTCAGAAGTCCTATGATAAATAAAAGCTAATGCTGAGGTATATTTCTCTCTATACTTTATAATACTTTCTTGCTGAGGGTGTTCTCTCCGTGTGTAAAAAAAATTACAAAGTCAAATTAGCTGAAGAACGTAAAATATAAAGTATCTCATTAAATAAAACTGCTGGAAACTCCCAGATTTTTCCATAAGAACCTCTCAGTGTTTCATGGTTCAAGGTTTGCAGTTGTGATATATAAAGATGCATCTTAGTAGTAAAGCTTGCCACCCTGAACAATGATATAGCTAGCATGGAATGCACGATTCGCATACTGTTGCATTTAGGTTCTATTATCAGATAGGGTATGGGTATTTATGACTGTAATGTCTAAGGCTCTGAACATTTGGTGTTAGGAAGAAAAAAAGAGATTGAATTATACCCTTTGTTCAGCTTTCTATCAAATTTGAGTTGAAGCTTAGACAGATAGCCGTCATCTGCATTGCCTAAATTAAATGGTTCAGTTCAATCTAACTGTGAAATTAACGGCCAGTGTAAAAGTTAATAGTGTATTATATTAAATCCTGACCATTTTGTGTTGCAGAAAATGTTATGTGGATTTGAGATTAATAATTTCTATCTTTATTAATTTTTTATGCAAATAAAAGACAATTCTATATTGTATCATATTTTATATCTGATGGCAAAGTTTTTTTCCCCTTTCTTAAAATTTAGATAATAGCTGTTTTTGAAGAAGAAAATTATTCTCCGTTACCTCAATATAACTGTGGAGATGTCACGAGTACAAGTTCTGTCTGCACTGGAAGCCCTGATATGTTCAGTGTTGAAGTTGGATCACACTGTAGCATTCCTTACAATAGTGATGTAGAAATAACAGAAGATCAGCAGCCTGCAGGTAAAAAATAAATTTCCTAGTAAAGGATTAAATTTCATGTTGTTTCATGAGTGATTTTTCTTGGCTTGTGCTGTAATTATTGATTTTTAACATCAAAAATATTAATGATAAAAATATATTTACGGGTACCCCGCGATTTTTGGCGGTACGTGGACACCGAGTTTGTGTATGTGTAGAGGCGAATTTTGCGCCAAAATAACAAGTTAAAGAATTGCACAAACTCGGTATCCATGTACACATCGACCTATTTTCACTTAAAGAAACATCAGAGAATTGCACAAACTAGGCATTGTGCACACCCTTGACTTTGTGCATGTACACATCGATTTATATTCACTTAAAAAGTCAAAGGAGTAGCCAACAAAAAATGTGCAACGTTACGTTAGGGATGTACAACCTGCGGTTCGCGAGCGGTCAACTTGTGGCCTGCCGAGACCTTTTCAAACTTTTGTTACGATTTGACATATCGGTTGTCTCTAGAATTAATTATGAGAAAAAAAAAAAATCACCCTCCTCCTTCATTACTCATTCTACTCTAAGCCCTCAAAGTGAGATTTGGAACTGAACAAAGTTCCTGGTGTCAACCAAAACACATATCTGCTGCCTGAGAACAAAAATTGCTCCTAGCCTGTAGGACCAACACCTGTAGAAGATTGAGAAAGAGTCTGTAGTATGACGCAGCACGAGTGTGTTTGCACGCATGCGCTAGTAAAGTGGAAGAGAAAAGTATTTGCTAGGATCCGAAGTGGTGCATTCATTTTCTTAGTGACGTTGCACTTTTGGCTTCCTGGCTATACATTGTTTTATCATGTGTGGCGTTTATTTTTCTTTTTGAGACTATTAAGAAGTTTTGTATTTTGAATATTTCACTTTTTTGTTTAAATATTATTTTGAAAGCGGAACCAACGTAGAATTTTTGCAATTTTTGTTCCACGTGGTTTTGATAGTTGCCATGATGAATGGATGTAAAACAGAAAGAAAGTTAGCAGACGATAACAGGAAATTTTCGGGGGCCTGGACTTTGAAATATTTTTTTGTGGAATGAAATAATAGAATTACTTGCTTGATATGTAATTTTACAATTAGTGTTTGCAAGGAGTATAACATTAAATGACACTACGACACGAAACACTGAAAATGTTCTAAGCTTGAGGGAGAGGTTCAAAATCATAAAATCAGATCTCTTTGCAATTCTGTCGTTGCTCAAAGGAATTTATTTACAAAGGCATCTTCACAGTTAGATATCTGTGTTCAAGTTAATTGGGAATTGCAGCCTTAATTAATTGCTAAAAGTGGCCACCCATTCACTGATGGCGATTTTGCAGAGGAATGTATATTGTTGGCTTCTGAGAAAGTATGCACTGAAGCTATGCAGAACTTTAAAAATGTGAGTCTCAATATAATGACAATTCAAAGAAGAATTGAAAATTTATCTGATGATCTTACTGAGCAATTACAGAATTTAAGTAAGCTGATGAGTCAGCAGATATTACTTCAACAGCTCAGCTTCTTTTGTTTGTCAGAGGAATTCCTGAAAATTTTGAAGTAACTGAAGAACTTGTTGGACTGAGTTCAATGAAGGGGCGAACAACTGGAACTGATATTTCATCCTCAGCTTTAAATTTGTGTTCTGGATATAATTTTTATATTAATTGTTAGTATCACTACTGATGGAGCTGCAGCCATGATTGGAATTCAGAATGGCATGGTGAATCTACTGAGAAACCACTTGGATGATAGAGGAAAAGATTTGCTTGGGTATCATTGATCAAGAACAGCTATGTGTGAAAGAACTAGGATTTAACCGCTTAATGAAAGTAGTGAACAATACAATCAATGTTATTCGCTCACATGGTTTAAACCACCGGCAATTTAAGGAAATCCTAGACACACAGATGCACCGCTTAGTGATCTCGTATATTACTCTGAAGTACGATGGTTGAGCCGTGGAGAGGCTTGAAAAGGTTTGCTGATTTGATTGATAAAATAATACCATTCCTTGAAGAAAATGGCAAGCAAACTGAGATGTTAAAGGAACCATCTTTTAAGTGTAACTTAGCATTTTTAGTTGATGTGACAGCCCCTCTGAATGACCTAAATAAAAAATTTATGGGAAAAAACGAATTAAATCACCTGACCAGTGCAGTATCTGCTTTTAAACTTAAATCAGCTGTTCTCAAAGCAGCTTGGCTGTCAAAATTTTGTCAGTTTTCCTTACCTGAAGAAACTCAAAGAAGATTTTCCTGATAAACAACTAGATTATTCAGATCAAATAAAGAGGCTGCTTATTTCTTTTGAAAAGCAATTTGCAGACTTTGAGTTGCCTAAGGTTAAATTTAAACTGTTCAGGGACCCATTTTCTGTTGTAGTCGAAGAAGCTCCAGAAGATGTTCAAATAGAACTTATCAATTTACAAACTTCTGACCAGGGCTGTGGAGTCGGTAGGGAAAATGACTGACTCCGACTTCTGAAATTTTGAAGACTCCAACTCCCTCGTATATACAGGGTGTTTCATAGATCATGGGACAAACTTGGAGGGGTGGTGGAGTGTACTAAAACATGCATTTTTTGTATAGGAATATAGGGTCTAAAGTGACGGTTTAAGGCAGGAACACAAGAAAACGACATGAGAGGAAAATTTGTTTGTGTACAAAATCAATGCAAAGTGCTTCTTTGTAGCAATGCAGTATTCGCAATAAATGTTAAAAAAATGGAACACTAATAGTAATAAGAACTACAGATGTGATTGGCTGGCAGTGCAGTGGTAGAGGGCGGTAGTGAGCCAGACAAACCACGATCCGATGCAGCAGAGTATCATTAGCAACTCTGATGTCGAGAGTGATGGGTGAGTTTACGCACAGGGAAAAAGCTTACATGCATCTCATGCATGGTGCTGCTAATGGGAATGGCAGAGCAGCGCTACGGTTACCAGAAACGGTTTCCGAACAGGCATATGCCGAAGCACACAATGTTCAAGATGTTGCAGGCCCACCAGCGGCCGAGCGGTAAAGTCGCTGAACACTGGTAGTTCAGTCCGAGGTTCGAATCCCGCTAATGGACTGACTGCATGTCTGTTTTCGTGGTTTTCCCCATGTGTAACGTGTATGCGAGCCAGTTTCCCTTAGAAAGTCCTCCACAAAGGCTTCCCTCCCCTTAGGCAGATAGCTCTCGGGGCTTTGCCGTAATTAAATAACCTAACCTAATCAAGAGGTTGCATTTGTCTCTGTCTGAAAATGGGTTATATGAAGCCACCTCTGACACTAGGAGTGGAAGAAGGCACGAAAACCTCACATTGAAGAATCTATCTTGAACATTGTGCATGAATCACCTGAGACAAGTACAAGAGCTATTGCATGTCGTCTGCAGCTGAGTCATTCTACCGTTTGGAGAGTATTGCATGCAGAGTTGCCAACTCTCCCGATTTAGGCGGGAGACTCCCGATTTTCGACCGCTCTCCCGCCAACCCGATTTACAATATATTTCTCCCAACTTTTTCTTATTCTTAATATTTCTCACGACTTTTATGGGACTTGGCTTAATACTTCGTTATATGAACAAAAAAAAAAAAAAAAAAAAAGTGATTTTGGACTTCTGAAAGCAACTGAATTTTCTCTAGATTATATCTAAAATGAAACCTTGCGAATCAGATGAGAATTTCTGCTTTGTGATTGACAGCATACGTATCCAGAAACGTCGTAATCTCCAGTTCTCCAATGGGCATCGAGCTCCACTGCGTGTCATCTGGCATATATTAGCCAATGAGCACAAAGCAAGCTCAAGGCCATTGCAAAGAAAATTCTTTGGCCGTTGGGCCGTTTGGATGTTCTTTTTCGCTTATTTCGTTCATCTTGTCCTGAGTTGTGTGAGTACACGTGCCTTTAGGGAAATAGTTTTAGAAATTATCGTCTTTTGATATGTCTGCGAGAAAGGTGAAATACTCGTGCACGTTTCAAAAATCGTACACAGTTGACTTTCCTTCCATATTTCTTCAAGGAAATGTAATAAATTTGCAATGTGTACCATCTGTCGTTGCGATTTTTCGATTTCGCTTGGTGGAAGGGCAGATGTTCTCAAACATGTGCGTACACAAAAACACAAGGACAACATGAGTTGTTTTGAAAAAACGAAAAATTAAATTTTTCTTCGGAAACAAAAGACCAAAAAGTGATTAATGCAGAATGTCTGTTCTCTGCCTTTTTACTGGAGCACAACCTGCCACTGAATGCATCGGATCACGCTGCAGCTTTATTTAGAAAAGTGTTTCCTGATAGTGAAATCGCTAAGGAATACTCAAGTGCAAGGACCAAAACAGGTGCAATTGTTAAAGAAATGGGTTTGAAAAATAAATCTTCAGTTATTGATTGCATTAAAACAGCTCCGTTCTGCCTCTCTACGGATGGAAGCAATAATACCAATTCAAAACTGTATCCAATTGTTGTTTCTTTTTTTTAATGCAGAGTCTTCAGAAATTTGAGTACAGTTTACTTTCTGTCCCCACCTTAGAAGGACATTCGACAGGCTTTAATATAGCACAGCTAATTATTAAAACTTTAAAATAAAATGCAGTCCCTCTGGATAATTGCTTAGCGCTTGGTGCCGATGATGCACCAGTAATTGTAGTTAAGACACAATAACACGCCGAATAAATACTGATTCAGAAGTCAAACAACAAAAATCAGCGTTAATTCACAAAATTTTCACAGGACTAGTTCGATGGTTTTACCGAACCATCATCTTCAGCTGCAAAACCGCAAATGAACAAGATAGGAAATAATGTTTTTAGATAAGATAAGAAAGCCTGGACAAGAATAAGCAAGTGGCGCCATCTGTTGGCGAAACCAGAACTAAAACATAATTTCTCTAAAAGCCGAAGGCAAATTTGGATTGGAATTAGGATCGTTAACTAGAACAGAAAGATTTTTATGAATGTGAAATGCCTCTAGAAAATCCAGTTTTCTCCAATGGAAGATGTTTTTTGAATAATTTTGGCAGCAGAAAAA